CGGGGCAGGATGGGGAGGAACTGGAGCAGGGGCTACCGGGGGAGTGCAGACCAAAATCAGGGGCGGGGTAACCGGGAGACCTCGGTGGGGAAAGAATGTATAGAAAAGGCAGACTCATCAAAAGTGACGTCACAAGAGTGAAAGAAACGGCGAGACAGCGGGTGGTAGAAGTGCCAGTCCGACGAGTCAAGGGGGAAACCAAAGAAGACACAGGGGACAGTGCGGGCAGTGAGCTTGTCCATGCCAGAGGCAAGAACGAGAGCAAGGCAACCCAAGACGTGGAACGCAAATGCGTCACCAGGGTACCCCATCCAGAGAAAGGTCGGCGAAACATGCGGCCGCTGGGAGTATGGCCACAGGTTAAGCTGGTGAGCGGCGTAGCGAACAACGAATGGCGACAGAAAATGGGGTGCACCGGCATGGATCATGGAGGTACGAGCCACCTCTATGACCTAACCGATGCGTCGCTGAGCGTCCCCATTCTGCTGTGGGCAGTCCGCCAGGGTGTACGACTGGGTGATGCCCTCCGCACGATAGAACTGGCCAAGCCGACCGTAGGTGAACTTCTTGCCACGGTCGGAGTGAAGACGCAGCACAGAGAGGCCGCGATGGACTCGCGTAGCTAGGTCCCACTGGATAAGAACGACAGGCACGTCGGCTGACACCAACTAGGTTCTTAGAGAACGAGGGGATGTGCAGGCCTATAAGAGAGCCCGAGGGAACCGCCGGACCCGAGGAGGGGTTAGCAAGCGCTACAGCAGCAGGGGCAGCAAGCGGCTTGAGCACAGTGTGGTCGTGAAAGAAGCAGTCGGATGCACCGGAGTCTAGCTTGAACAACAGCGCGGCAGTAGCGGCCGCAGGCGGAGGAGCTAGGGTGGATCCGAGGCTAAAGAAGGCAGGTGGTCCAATGCCTGACGCATCAGGGGAACCTAGACTACACACAGTGGACACACCTACATTAGGCAACACCGAGTAGTAGGTTCCAGTCACACTAGAGTCATCAGCGTACATGGCATACAAAGCCTACCTAATCTGATCCATGTCAAGCTCAAAAGCAGGGATACAGCGTCGCACCAGGCTGTACCAGTCGGGGGGGTCCGACGAAGGGCCGAAGCGGAGACGGAAGAGGTCGTCCAGGCGGCGGTAGCAGCAGGCAGCGGTGTGCCAGGGACGGTCGCAGACAGTGCCGTGGCACGGGCCGGATTGAAGCTGGTACTGGCAGTTGACTCCACTGAATCCGCCACCCGACATTGAGCTGCGCGCCCCACGACGACGACGACGACCATCAGCACCGCCATGCCACCACGGCGGCGGGGGTCCCCACGGCGACTGCTGCTGCTGCTGCTGCGACTACTGCTGCTGCTGCTGCTGGGGCTGCTGCTGCTGCTCCGGGGCATCAGCCCCGGTCCCCTCGTTTGTATGACGGCCCCCGCCCCCACCTCCACCACCCCCACCACCCTTCCCTCTGCCACGCCCCCCCTTGGGGCGGCGGCCCTTACCCTGACGCTGCTGCGCTGAGACCGCGGTCTGTAAGGCACATGGCAATGAGGTAAAGGGTAGCGCAAAGCGGCGGCGGGAAGGCAGTGAGCTGTGCCTCAGTGCTTGCGGCTCGTTAGCTAGTCTCCAGTGCACGGATGTGAGTGGCAAGGTCAGCGTCGGTGGGAAAGTACGAAGGTCAGGGAACAGCATGGGGAGGATCAGACGGCTGGCTGAGGCTGAGGAGGGAGTGGAATAGCCCGCGATGACGACATCTAAGTATTCCTTGGCGTTTGCTACAGCGGTAAAGTGGGGATGCTCAGACAGGGGAGGGCGTGACTAATGGCAAGCTGTGCAATGGCGTTGCGCGACTCCCAGACAGCGCAAGCAAGCTGAGCAGCAACGAAAGTCTCACGCTCAGCAGACGTGGGGGCGACATGGAGGGCAGCGGGCGTGGCTGGGCGAGGGAGCTTACTGTCGACATGGACGGCCAGGGAGTGGCTGTCCTGGCGCCGGCCGGTCAGTTGGCGGTGGAGGTCGATGAGCCACGCCTCAAACACAACAGCCCGACCCTCCACGTCCAGGCGGAGCAGAGAGTCCGCCATCACAACGGCTGCATTAGCTGATTGCCGCTGACAAGGGGAGGAGGGCGGTGAAGAGGAGAGGGGAGCAGTGGAGTGCAGTGGAGAGCGGTGGAGTGCGGTGGAGTGTGGTGGAGAGCCGTGGAGAGCAGTGGAGAGCGGTGGAGAGTGGTAGAGTGTGGTGGAGAGCGATGGAGCCGGCCGGTGGGAGCGCCGGCTCAGAGGAGGAGCCAAGGCCGGCGGGTCAGCGCGGCTCTGTGGTAGGAAGAGTCGGGGCAGGCTGGGACCGGCGGAGTTGTGGCTGGTGAGAAAGCAGCAGGCGCAGGGCCAGCAGGCGTGGGGCCGGCGGGTGCAGGACCCACAGGCGCAGGGCTGGTGGGCGCGGGGCCAACAGGCACGGGGCCGGCGGGCGCGTGGCCAGCAGGCGCACGGCTGGCGGGCGTGGGGCCAGCTGGCGCAGAGCTGGCGGGCGCGGGACCAGCAGGCGCGGGGCTGGCGGGCGCAGGGTCAGCAGGTGCGGGACTAGAAGGAGTGGGGGGCCAGCGGGCAACGGGGCTGACAGCAAGGGGCTAGCGAATGCGAGGCCAGCGGGCGCGGGGCTGGTGAATGAGGGGCCAGCGGGCGCGGGGCTGGCGCAAGCGGGACCAGCGGGCACGGGGCGGGCGAAATCGGGGCCAGCGGGACATGGGGCCGGTGGCGAGGGACTGGCGAATGCGGGGCCAGTGGGCGCGGGGCTGGCGAATGCGGGGACAGTGGGCGCGGGGTTGGCGAGATCGGGGCCAGCGGGCGCGGGGCTGGCGAAAGCGGGGCCAGCGGGGCGGGCGAAATCGGGGACAGCGGCACAGTGCATGCAGGTGCGGGGCCAGCAGGCGTGGGGTCAGCGAGCACAGGGCTGACGGGCGTGGGGCTGGCAAGCGCGGGGCCAGCAGGCGCGGGGCCAGCGAGCGCGGGGCTGGCAAGTACAGGGCCAGCGGTTGCGGGGTTGGCGAGCGCGGGGCCAGCGGTTGCGGGGTTGGCGAGCGCGGGGCCAGCGAGTAAGGGCCGGTGAGCGGCTGGCGGCTACGAGCAGCTGGTGGCTACGGTCGGCTGGCGGCTACGGGCAGCAAGCGGCTACAGGCGGCTGGCGGCTAAGGCGGCACGAGGCGACGGGCGGCCAGCGGCGGTGAGCGGCAAGCGGCTAGCAGAGGCGGCTAGCAACGGGGGGCTAATGACGGGCGGCTAGGAACGGGCGGCTAGCAACTGGCGGCTAGCAACGGGCAGCTAGGAACGGGCAGCTAGGGCTAGGACTAGAGCGGAAGCGAGGGTGGGCTGGGAGGACCTAATCTAGCGCGTGATACCATCTCACAGTAGAAGTGTTGACCAGAATGAGAGATACACGTGGTTTTGTGAAGGGGTTGTACTGTTTAAGAGTATGCACCTATCTAGCCTATAGTAATATATACACATATGTTTAACATAAACCTCATCACAACACAGAACACTCTTGGTGGTAGCAAATCCCTACTATTGGTGCTAGTTGAGAACAAAGATTGATTCTATTGTTCTACACAAGAATGAATAAACCCACGAATACAAAGCATGTAAGAACTTATGATAATCTAGTTGACAAGCATTTAGAACCCAATGTTTTGCTAGCTATAAGAAGGATTTAGGACACCATCTGGCCACTAACAACCGGCCTTCACGAACTTTATTTTTTGAAGGACATTCCACGCTCAACGGCATGGTTAGGTAGTAAGGGCGTCTTCCAAGCCGTATGAAAGTGATGAATGTGCCACATTTTAGTTCATATGACATATAAAGTACACTTAGCTTTCATTGAGTTTCATGAGATCTCGTTCTTTTCAGTCACACAGTAATTGTCAAATTATTGGCGGAACTGCAGAAACCCTTCCATCCCTCTTGCACCCAATCGTACTCACGCAATCTGATGAGCCACAATCATCGTTGTCATTCCTGCCGTGCATTATGGTGCGCCCTGGATTTTTTTCGTCATCGCGGTTTGTTTTGTGTTCAGCTCAGGGATGGGAAATTATACACGAGGTCACTACTACGGCCCCATCAACATGAACGCGCATATTTTTTGGCACCATATAACACTGGCAGCGCCAATGTTTCATCTTCACATAATGGGTGCCAGATTGGTAGTCTGTGGACGACCAGGAATTTTGTCAGACACAATTCGGATTGATAATGGCTTACACAATCATGAAGTTTATTTTACACACAACAAAAAAGTTTCACTTCCATTCTAATATTTTCTACGAAATAGCATACTATATTTGCATGTATATTTGAGATTGTGGAGTAATTAGCATCTTAAAAGCGCTAAGGATGTACATAAAATAATCACATGAAGCCAAAAATCTTAATGGTGACTAGTGCACGATATAAATAGCATTGTGGACACAATATGGTATATAGACCATAGAGATATTTCAATGTTATTGGAAGCATTTGGAATGTCTAGATCTTTATTGAATTGTTGTGGGTATCAAAAGTTACAAAGGTTACGATGGGCTGGTTCATTAAAGATAGGAAATCAATTTGTTTTCGCGTATGGCATGAGCTGCCCGCCTAGTCACACCACTATTCGCTACGCAGGGAAAACCAAACTAGACTCGTTTCCAAAAGGAACAGGCCAAACGTAACCCAATGAAACCAAACCAAACTCGAGTTGAGATAAGAGTTCCGTGCTGTAGGGCATCACGATTCCCCACCCATAATTGCACAATGTGCGGTTCGAGGATGCCAGCCGTCTTGATTCGTTGCCGTTTCGCACTCTACCACGCCGCACCGTACTAGATTATGTTCAGCTCAACTCAGGAGAATCCGAAATCCCGAGCCCCAAAGCATTGAGCCTCAGTGCTGTCAAAATATATTGCTCTCTTGTTCCTCGCCATATTCCTCACTACGTTCTCAACCTGGAAACGCCACTTGGCCGTATTACACGCGTTCTATTAGCACCATGGAACCACCAACCTCTAGCGTGCGATTCTTTTTCATCCTTTCCTTCGCCACAGCGTTTCTCAGCTGCGCTCAAGCGGCGGGCCCACCGAAGTCAGTCGCAGCAGGAATTTTTGTGAAAACCTTTGTTCCTCCGCACGCCATCCTCCGCACGCCATCCTCCGCAAGAACATCAACAAGGGCAAGGCACGTGCGCCTTCGAGGGGAGCTTCGACACAAGCACGTACTTCGGTCACGGCCACAAGTTATACCTCCCTAAGAGCGTCTACCAGCGGGGCGCGGTTTGCGGAGCATGCTTTGCCGTTTCGTGCCTCAACCTGAGGATTGCTAGAGCAATAATGGCACAGTTGTGAACATAAGAGCCCATGTGGTCAGGCTAGCACAATACCTCCCGCCTGCAGCTATCCGACGTGGCGTGGAACGGGCTCGTGGTGGACCGCAAGCGGCCCGACGTGGAAGTGCAGTTTAAGAAGGACTCGTGCACTGTGACGACGACCATGATGGCGGTGCGCGTGGTGAGCGGCAGCAAGAAGAACAATTTCGCGATCCACATCCTAGGCGCGGCGGGCATGGGCGTGGCAAAAGTGGAGATTTCCAATGACAACAGGAAGTGGGTGGGTATGGAGTGCAAGGGGTGGTCGGCATCGTGGACGGTGAACCGCAAAGACGCCAAGGACGCGGCAAAGAGCATTGTGCGTGGGGGCAAGCTCATGAGCGTACGCGTTATAGCCGAAGGATCTGGCGAGAAACTCGTCCTTGATAACATCATCCCCGCTGGTTGGACGGACGCCCGGGTGTACACCTCGAAGACTAATTTTCACGTTGAGGGAGCGGCGAAACCTGGGGCGTCTACTCCCCCGTTGATCGCCGTGGCAGGAAAGGGCAGCGGCGTGGATAAGGCGAAGGTGGAGAGCGCAGTGGAGGCGATCAAAGCGGTGGTGAGCCAGGCGGGCAGCGAGGTGTCCGCTGCTGCCAAGTTCGTGTTCGGTGGCAAGGCCATGAAGGGCGTTGCGGTGAGCCTGGAGGCTCGGAATAAGGTAGATAAGGAGAACAAGGGTGGGAAGAAGTCAGATAAGTAACAAGTGAGGGGCCAATGAGCTGAGATGGTAGGCTACTGTGTCAGAGATCTTGGCGCGTATAGTTGACCCGTTTGCCTTGGTTTGGGAGGCAGAAATTTGGGTTTGCTGATGGGAACCAAGCTATGACTGCTGGTTATTGAGAGCGTGCATGTAGGTGTGGTTTCCCAGAGATGGGTGCTCTGTGGCATGCTTGTCCATGGCTGGGTGGGTGGGTGGGGTGGATGTGGCATCATGCCAGTGTAGCTTCATGTTCTCGGGAAAGTGGCTGTTATGTGTGTATAAAACCGCGGTACACATTCCCGGGAATGTGAAAAAAAGAACAGTGACAATTGGGCTACTGTCACGCTGATTGGGTCGCGAGCTTGGCGACCATTTGGCTTACTGCGAGAGACGACCATTGGTTCGTAGCGTCATCAATTTCGTGGCACACTCGGACAAAATGTCTTGCGCTGGGAGGTTGTAAACATTTGGAAAAGCAGGGCGGGGGGTGGGGGGGCGGGGGAGGGAGGAGGGGGGGGAAACGATTCTGACGTAGGCGCAAACGAATTTTGTGGGGTGAGGTTGTGGCAGCGGGGGAACACCAAAATTGCGGGGCGTGGGGAATGTGTGGCCGGAGGGGGAAAACAAAAGCGGGATTGGGGGGATACGAAATTGCGGGGCGGGGTACTCGCGAGCGTGTGGGATTTGCAGTACACAAATTCCACATCTTGGGTGTCAGGGGACGAGGTGCAATTTCCATCGTCAAAGTTATGCTGTAATCCGCTCCCAAATGTTTATAATTTGAAAACAAACAAGGAATGTGTGTTAAAATTATATAAGTTATAATTTAATATAGGCTTGGTAGGTTGTTACTGAACCTTTCTGTAGGGGGTACAAACCCCTCCTTGTACTCCCCTCTCTTCCTAATCCAACCACCTTTCTTCTCGACATTCTCTCACCTCCTAGATCCGTTTTTCCTCACGCCATTCCATGGCGGTCTTCTTCCTAGTATCCTAGCCAACCTAGCCTCCTAAGTTTAAGAACCTTTAGTCCTAAGTTTCTAAGAATGTGAACCACAGCTTAAATCATAGTAGCGCGGAATCGAATGCCGAGGTTCAGAATAACATAATGTGGTACAATGGAATGATGAAGCAAGATATAGGAACACCAGAGCAATCCTAGCCGCGTGATCGAACAGGTTTGTATAAGGCATTCGAGGACGTGGAGCGCTTCGGAGTGACGCGTAAATGGTGCGGTGCCGCGTTCGGCCCGAAGCTAGGGCAGATGTCGGTGCCGTGTGGGGTTGATATACGCGGTAGCGGTGTAGCGCACTAAGGAATGGAAAATTCCTTACACTACCCCCCCCTTTAGCGAAAGTGGTCTATATTTACGATGTGCTTGCGGGATAAATCATCCCGGAGTACAGTAGGTGACTATACTTGCACCGAGGGAACCCATGTGTCGTCCTCGCTAGTACGATGAGTCCATCGTATCAGAAAGTCAACGTGTCATTCCTGACCATTGATTCGTACGCGATGGCTTAGGATCTTTGCTAGTTCGATGAGCGTCTCTTCGGTTGGCCGTACCGTAATCCCCCGTATATAACACCCTATGGTGTATATAAAAATTCACTAAAAAAATGACTGGGTGTTAACAGTGGCCCGGAAAAATATAGTGCCCATGTGTTATGTAAAATGCAATTTGAATTTGAGTGTTTTATGCCATGTGTGTTCAAAAATGGGCGGAGCGACTGTTAGCGAGGAACAGCATCCGCTACGACGAAACTCACAAACCAATCGTCGTTGGCCAATCCCTGCTGAGTGCTATAGTCAGGGCCAGGTTTGTGCAGCACCTGCGACCGTCATGATCGCGACAGAATCCGCGACTTCGACGGGAGGATTTCGCTCAGGAGGATTCTGACCGTCAAATCACAACAGAATCCGCGAATTCGACGGTCGAAATCCTCCCGAGTCTTGACCTTTGCTGACATTTCCATTTCGCGCTGCAACTTGTGTTGATGTTTCTGCCCGTTTTTTCGCTGCTAATGGTAGTTGACATTGCGTTTTTCATCCTGTTCGTTTTTTTCTCAATCGAGCTGAACTTGAAAAACTACGAAATACTGTTCTTTGCTGCATAAAACGAGGAGGGTGTTATGTAAAATGCAACCCCCGAAAAGCGGGTGCTCTCCTAAATTCACCCTATCATAAGCTCTCCCCCGCATAAACCACCCGCGGAGTGACTATTTCGGCGGGTGTTATATACGGGGGATTACGGTAGGTCTTGGGCGATCGGTTGCCGGGCGACGTTTGACGTGTCGGCCACAAAATGACGAAGGAGGCTGGCGTGGAATGAATTATGAATTTTCCAATCGTTGGGCTGGCGGAGTTGGGCGGTCACTGGCGTTATCATCTTGATGATTTTGAATGGTCCACAATAGCGGGGTCGGAGTTTTGGCGATATCTGCAGGCGAAGGATTTTGGTGTCAAGGATGACTAGTTTCCCTGCAGTCAAGGTAATATCTCGTCTGTGGTGGTCAGCGTATTGGCGAGCAGTGACATTGGCTTTTCGGATAAATTCGATGGCTTTTGTGCAGGCGGTTTGAAGATCTTCGACGAATTGCTGCGAGCGGGGAACTTGGCTTTCGACGTTGATGGAAATGTGTACGGTCGGATCCATCCCGTAATTCAGGATAAAGGGCGAATGATTAGTCGTGGCGGAGGGTGCATTGTCGTAACTCGAGCATGGGTAGCGAATCTTCCCATTTGCTGATATCCGGGCAGTTTGTGCGAATCAACTGTTCCATGGTCAGATTCATTCGTTCTGTCTACCCGTCGGTTTGCAGGTGATAGGCGGATGGGAACTTTAGGCGGGTGCCGTATCGGTTCCACGTGTCTTGCCAGAAGCGCGAGGTGAATTTCGGATATCTGTCGCCGATGATCGCCGCAGGGATACCATGCAGACGAACGACGGCTGAGATGAACAGACGCGCGGTTTCTTCGGCTGTGATCGTCGTGCGAGATGGCGCGAAGTGAGACATTTTCGTAACGCGGTCGATGACGACAAGGACCGCGTCGTTTACACTTGGTCTGGCCGGCAGGCCGGTGACAAAATCCATTGTCACGTATTGCCAAGGAAGCTGGTGTGGCTCGAGGGGCTGCAACAGTCCTGCTGGCCGCTGGCGTGATGATTTCATCGTCTGGCAGGTTGGGCACACGCCCACATACTTTTGCATGTTCGAAATCATGTCGGGCCAGTAATAAAACCGCGAGAGTGCTTTCAGAGTCTTGTCAACCCCAAAATGTCCCAATAAGTTTGAATCGTGGACTTTTGATTCAGTAATTCGCGAAGTAGATGACAAATCGGAACCCAAATCCGTTCCGTTCCCGCTTTTACGTAATAGGCTCCCCGCGCGGTCGTAACTTGCTGGTGGCCGTTGTTTACAAAAAAGGGATCGGTCGAATATCCGTGGGAAAATAGTCCGCTCAGCAACGGGTTCGTCTGGGCGATTAGTACAGCGACGGTTTGGGCAGATGGTCTGGATAGGGCGTCAGCAATGTTGTTGGCACCCTTCTTGTACGTGATTTGATATGTGAAGTTCGACTCCACATAATCCAACCAACGAATTTGCCGCGGGTTGAGGTTGTGCTGCACGCGCAGGTAGTGTAGGGATTTGTGATCTGTTCGTACAGTCACGTCGGCTCCTGTCAGGTAGCATCGCCAGATCTTACACGCGTGCATAATTGCCAGCATTTCTTTGTCGTGTACGAGATTATTTTGCTCGGCTGACAGTAACTTTCGCGACTCGTACGTGATTGGTTGAAGGGCGTCGCCAATATCTTGTAGCAGAACTGCTCCGATTACGAATAGGTTGGTTGGCCAACCAACTCTTCCTGAATTACCCAAATTTTTGTGGGGGTCATTTTTCACGCCTTCCGTCGAAATAACATGCCCCAAAAACTCCAGTTCAGTTTCTAAAAACTCACACTTAGAGCCTTTGGTGATGAGACGACTCTGCTGCAGGCGCTGAAAAACCGCTTCCAGGTCCTTTAAGTGCTGCTCCCGTGTCGTCCCGTAAATCAGGATGTCATCTAGATGGATGATCACACTTTTATCGAGTAGATCCCGGAATACCCCGTTCATCGTCAGCTGGAACGTCGAGAGGGCATTCGTTAACCCAAATGGCATGATAGTGTATTCGTAACTCCTGTAGCAAGTACGAAACACGGTCTTGTGGCAATCGTCGGCGAAGACTCGAATCTGGTTGTAACCGCCTCAAAGGTCGATCTTCGAGAAATAGCGAGCGCCTCGCAGCTGGTCAATCAGTTCGTCCGCTTGCGAGATTGGGTAGCGATACTTAATCGTCACCCGATTAAGGGCGCGGAAGTCAATGCACATTCGGAGGCCCCCATCCTTCTTAAGTGTGAACACGATCGGGGCAGTGAACAGGGACGTACTCGGTCGAACAAACCCTTTGGCTAGTAGATAACCCAGCTGGTCCCGTAATTCCTGGAGCTCAGGCTGCGTCAGCCGCCACTGTGTCCGGACAATTGGCTGCGCGCCAGGTTCGATTCGATCCGATGGTCCTGAGGGCGTTCTGGTGGTAGGCCAGGTGGCAGGTCTTCCGGAAAAATATATGGGAACTGACGAATCAGTTTTGCCAGATCTTCGGGGACCGCTGCACAAAGCTTATCGATGTCGGCCAGTTGATCGTCGTCTGTCGATTCCTTCAGATGGACAGCGTACAATCTGCTCTTGACCGCACGTCCTCAGGTTCATCCCCGTTATTCGTCCGAGAGCGGTCGATAGCGTGTACCGGTACCACTACCCGATGGAGATGCTGTTTCTTGAGCGATGCAGCCATATCAGTAGGGGGCCCATTTGTTACTGACGAGAGTCATTTCCCGGCTTATCCCTATCGTTGTTTTTCCTCTGCTTCCAGTCAGGGCAGTCAGCATATCAGTGACCCAACTGGTGGCAGTGAAAACACTGTCGCTTCATGCGATCTTCGTCGTTCGCCACAATGCTGTTGATCGAGGGCCGTTGATCCTGGCCACGAAAATGATTTCCCCTCCGGGAACCCGATCTCGCATATTTTTTATTGGCATCGTACAGGTCGGTGATCACCACTACTTCCTAGAACGTCGCTAGGCGTCGCATCCGCACTTAGTAACGAATGCCGGATTTGAGCCCAAT